CAGGTCAATCGCCACCTCATCGGCACTCTGGACGATCCAGCACCGTCAAACACCTTCCTGTTGATAGAGCTCAGTGTCTTTCTCATGAAGAGTAGAGATCACGCCTTGCAAAGCAGTGCTGAGACGAGACGAAGTAGCCGTTGTGCTAGCCAAGGGTTTGTGAGGAGGTCGTTCATGAATGGTGCGAATAGAAGGACGAGAGCGAGTGCGTGGGGGGACAGGAYWAGTATTTTGTGYTGTGACTCCAAGAATGCTGCGAAGAGCTGGAGGAGACTTGTGGGCTTTCAACACATAGTATAGGTAAGGCAGGGTATCAGTGTGGGTATAACCCCAATGGTGATTCCATAGTGCATGGTGGTTGAGCACATCAGCGACGGATTCATGAGGACGAGTATAAGTGGGACTGTCCAAATGGGTAGAGAGGTGAAACAAGTACCAATTCTTGCAACAAATTGCCAAATTGTGGGATGATTTGTCCACAGGAACAATGGCAAAGTGTTCTTGCAGATGGCGTAAGGAGGCATGTGCACAACGAAGTGAATGTTGTTGGCTCACATGATTGGAAGACGAAGTCGCATCGGATTGACAATGCCCAAGGATTGCAGAACGCCAGTTGTGCAATTTCTGAGAAAGGGACGAGAAAGAAGCAGATCGAGAGTGTCTAGCAAATGTATTATTGTAACTGGCAATGTACTCATCGAGTCCGATCGCCAGTGCTTGGAGCACATCAGCAGTCTCCCCGTTCAAACGATATTTAGAACCTTCTTGAAAAAGCTTGCGAAGGTTATCGTCTGAGATGATATTGTAATCAACAGAGACAACATGACCGTCCACAAGATCTGAACAATGCGGAAAGGCCCTGCGACATTCACAGTTCACGAAGTGTGGTAAGGTCATGTCAGGAGCAACACTCAATGCCACATCAGTAAAGTTGCAAAATTGGACACGTGTGGGTGGCATCAAATTGTCACATACATCGTTCTCTTAAGATAAGAAAGGCCTCCTTATCTATCGGTAGCGGTATGCTTGGGCGCTGGTTGACCTGATAAAGAAAGCGACCTCTGTGCAGCCCATCTCTGTTCGACCTAGGTTCGCCATCTACGTGCTTACCCGCCGGCGAACACCATCTTTCTTATTATGTATGGTGTGCGTTAATTGAAATATAATAGAAATGGGGGCACAATTTATTTAAATAAACCGGCCTCTGGAGGACTACAGCGATAGATAGATCGCTGTAGTCTGCTCACTCTGGCCAGACCTTTCTCGCAGGCATAATTTAATTGATTTCCAAAGGGTACGAAGTCGGTAGATGTCGAAGCAGCCAACGACTGCTTAATCTGATTCCTCATCACAGGATATGTGTCTAGCTTTTCCAAGAGGCACGAAGTGTTGATTAGATCAAAGCATTTCGCAATGTCGGCGTCAAGCACATATTTGGCTCTAATTGCTCTAGCCAGAGCTTCCATGGCATCTTCACAACTATGTATATATATATTGTCACAGAACTATTGACTAAGAGCATGAGCATGTGAAGTAGAAGAAGAAACAAGATGAGCAAAGAAAAGAAAAATGAAAGGAAAGA